AAAATAATTATTTGATCCCCTGCAGATTTTGTAAGTTTGCCCCCTTACAAAGAAATGAAAGGTCTATAATTTTTATCATAGGTGTATTTAAATTTTATTTAATTTTAAATGATCGAGACAGAATATCAACCAAAAATCCAGAAAAAAACACATGATACAATTGTTATAAATTGAGTTGCAGTTCAGTGAGTAAAATAAGTATTTGATCCCCCAGCAAAATATGACTTAGTACTTGTGGAGAAACCTTTGTTGGCAAGCACAATCTCATGAGGGATTTTGGTCCCCTCTTCTTTACAGATCTTCTCTAAATCCTTAAGGTTTGTTGGCTGTCGCTTGGCAGCTCGAAGTTTCAGCTCCCTCCATAAATTTTCTATAGGATTAAGGTCTGGAGACTGGCTAGGCCGCTCTATGACCTTAATGTTGTTCTTCTTGAGCCACCGCTTTGTTGCCTTGGCGGTGTGTTTTGGGTCATTGTCATGCTGAAAGACCCATCCACGACCCATCTTCAGTGTTCTGGCTGAGGGAAGGAGGTTCTCATCCAAGATTTTACAATACATGGCCCAATCCATTGGCTCCTCATTGCGGCAAAGTCGGCCTGTGCCTATAGCAGAGAAACAGCCCCAAAGCATAATGTTTCCACCTCCGTGCTTGACTGTACTGATGGTGTTCTTAGGGTCGTAGTCAGCATTTTTCTTCCTCCAAACACGGCGAGTCGAGTTTATGCCAAAGAGCTCAATTTTGGTCTCACCTGACCAGAGCACTTTCCCAATCCTTCTCTGAATCATTTAGATGTTCATTGGCAAACTTCAGATGGGCCTGTACATGTGCCTTCTTGAGAAGGGGGGCCTTGTGGGTGCTGCAGCATCTCAATCCATGGCGGTGTATTGTGTTACCAATGGTTTCTTTGATGACTGTGGTCCCAACTGCCTTGAGATCATTCACAAGCTCCTCCTGTTTAGTTCTGGGCTGATCCCTCACTTCTCTCATGATCATCTTTACCCCATTAGACGAAATGTTGCATGGAGCTCCAGGCAGAGGGCGATTGATGGTTATTTTGTATTCCTTCCATTTGCGAATAATCACTCCAAAAGTTGTTTCCTTCTCACCAAGCTTATAGTCTTGTAGCCCATTCCAGCCTTGTGCAGATCTACATATATCTACATATGTCCCCAACGTCCTTTGACAGCTCTTTGGTCTTGCCCATGGTGGTGAGGTTTGAATGGAAGCAAGATTCTCTGTCTTTTATTTACATAACGAGTTGTCGTTAGGAGCACCTTCTTAAATTGACAGGAATAATCTGTGTTACCACATAGCCAGTCTGTGGGAGCCAGAATTATTGTTGATTGGTAGGGGATCAAATGCTTGTTTTACTCGTTTTATTTCTTCAGTAGTGTTTTTGTTTTTAACAATATAGGGTTGTAGACAATAGTGTTCTAGCCTTGAGATATATATATACTTGTATATCATATATACCATATCAAACATCACTCCTTTTAATCTGAAACGCTCATGCACTTATTTACTTCTTTCATTAGAACTACCTCACTCTCTTGGACGATGAAGACCATAGACTAGAATATCTCAAAATCCAGGATGAGCAGCACTTGGTAATAGAAGGTAAACTTTGTGAAATTGTAATTTGCTCTTTTGTTGTCGCATTGGCAATTGTAAATGTACCCAATTACAGGTTATGTATTTATAGCTAGATTTACAAACCCAAATGTCTTATAGTAAAAGTAGCATCCATCCTATTACAAAAGTAGCCTCCTTCCAGAAGGAAGGACAGTGTCCACACCAACTCGAAGATTATTTGAGAATCTACAGCTCAATGATGCACAAATAAGACACATATTTGTTAATAGTAAAGGTACTTGAATACCTGAAATTCCTTGACTTTTGTAAGAGTTTTGAAACTGTGTTTCCTTTCAATGTTGTATGTGTTAGATTATCTTTTATGCAGCTGCTATTTACTTTGTTGCTTTAAAGTGACACTAAACTCAGGAGTTAAATCTTAAAAATGCATTCAAGTACTCCAACTATTAATAAAAATGTATCTTCTTTGTGTATCACTCAGCTGTAGATCCTCAAATCATCTCTGAATTCATGCTGGTAATGTGCCTTCCTTCTGGAAGGTGCTACTTTTGTTCCCCATGATCCCTATGTGTGTTGTAAAGTAGCCACTACTCCAAGCTCTCTCCCGCAAAGGACTCCCGCAATGGTGACAGCAACATTAGCAACAAACTCTTTAGGATTAACTCCATTACAAAAACTAGAGGCCACCACCTAAAATTGGTGGGAAAAGAATTCCAGCACAAGGGGCGAAGGGGGTTCTTCACAGTAAGAGCAGTTAGGGTCTGGAACTTACTGCCACCAGCAGTGATTTCAGCTAAGAGTGTGGAATTGTTCAAGAAACTTTTGGATGATTTCCTGAGGAACCGTAATATACAGGGGTACAAGTACTCCTAAGAATGAGATGATACATGGCCCTATATAGGTTGGACTTGATGGATGTATGTCTTTATTCAACCTCAAATACTATGTAACTATGTAACCACAATCTCTCGTTTAGTTTACTTTAATAATTTGTATTGAGATTGTAGTGCATTTCAAAAGCCAATAGCAGGCTGGCTTTTTCACAATCAGAAAGTTCTCCTTCAGATCCTCCTCTGCTGACTGACAGCAGGCAATGGGAGGGTGCAATAGCCAGCCTGCTATTGACTACTGCAATTTAAAGTGGCTAATATCAGGCTGGCTATTGATCCCAGGTGCTGGATGGGAGCAAGCCGGCAATAGGTAGGAACAGGGGGCATGGGGGAGCAGAGGAAGGCATCGGGGCAGAGCGGGGAAATGCAGAGGCACAGAGGTTTCTTCTCCCCGCTGAGTGTCAGTTGCAGCGATCTGTGTCTCGTTCTATCCCTGCTGCCTCTGCCGATACAGGCGGCAAGAGCAGCGGACATGGAAGGGTACACAGACCACGGCATGCAGTGGCTCCCAGAGTAGGGGAGAACGGAGTGGGGGAAAGGGGAGAGTGCGGTTTGGAGTTTGACACCAGCTACAGGGGTCTGTGTCCCCTCCCATCCCCACTAGGAGCAGCAGGGATCGGAAGGGACACAGAGCCCACGTAACAACTAATCAAAGGATCAACTAAACAATATTGAGGATCATCAACAATGATTCCCATTATCAATTAAATCGATTAGTTGTTGCAGCCCTAGACTTAATGTGGCTGTATACCCATGGTACCTTGAAAGTCCCATTTAAATTTGTGTACGATGTAGTTTTAAGTTCTTTTGGGATGTGGTTACCACCTAATAAACAGGATTGTTTGACTATATATACTTATTAATTACACTATATATGCCTTTTTTACCATAATTTCTAAATTGCTGATGTTCATTGTGCAGGACACTCTTTTGCTATATTGTAAATGTAAACATTATATGTATCCGCTGTTTTGTTTTTTGTTTTCAGTTCGCAACAAAGACATGAGCTGGCCTGAAGAAATGTCATTTATTGCAAACAGCAGTAAAATAGATAGACATAAAGGTAAGTCTGTGAATTGAATGGAGCTATATCATTGGGCTTGATTGAAAAGTATGAAGTGAGATAACCAAAGTGGTTTTCGCAAACTGAAACTAATGTGTTGTTCTTAGTAATATTAATGTTATTACCAGTGATATGACTCTCCCTATCTGTAGCTGCATTTTTAAAGCCACATTTGATATTTGAAGTAATGAGGAGTTAAAGGGATTTAAAGTGACATTAAACCCTCAGATTTTTTAACATAAACCAATACTGTAATGTGTGCCTTACTGTAATGCATGGTTGTTTCCCTTCTCTTTGCTGCTCTTCCTTTTAAATCCTCATGTCTTCTCATGCTGGGCAGAACTTCTGTTTTGCAGCAGACTGCCTTGTCTCAGGAATGGATACACAGTGTCTGTGTATACGTTTGTATAGGCTTGTAACCTGAGCCAGCACTACAGGAAGAGGCCCTGAGCTGAAAAGGGAAGTTCTCCCTAAGCATGAGAAGACATGAGGATTTAAAAGGAAGAGCAGCAAAGAGAAGGGAAACTACCATGGATTACAGTATTGGTTTATGTTAAAAAATCCGAGGGTTTAATGTCACTTTAATGCTTTTTACCATTAAATAGGAAGCAGCTTCTGTCTGTTAAAACCTTTCAGTTGTTGGGATTCCCCTTTTATCCCTAGATGCTTATTGATTTTCATCACATCATGTTTCTCTCTCTGTAATTAATTTAATTTGAGAAATGTCACTGCCCCCCACAACAGACATTAAAGTTAAACAAGTAGACCCCCTACCATTTGTCTTTGTTGAAAGGCAGGCATGCTTCCTGCTGTTTCAGTGAAGGGGAAAACTAGCTGTTTCCGTTAATGTTTTTACTAAAAACAGAATACAAATTGTGTAGTGCAATGTTTGCCTCTAAGTAGCTGATATGCTATCCTTATGGTTTCCTTTTTTTTTTTTTTTTTCTAGTTCCCACTGAAAAGGGAGCAACAGGACTCAGCAACCTGGGAAATACTTGCTTTATGAACTCCAGTATCCAATGTGTCAGTAACACTCAGCCTCTAACAAAATACTTTATCTCAGGGAGACATCTGTATGAACTAAACAGGTACTTGTGTTTAATATTAATAAATCTTGTGTGCAGATACATCAGAAACTGCAAATATATCCACTTTGCCAGTCCATTTGGTGTCAGATTAGAATTGTTTGCCCTTTGCCTGTGGTCAAATTTTTGGTCTGAAAATGTCCTTGTGGGGTGTACAAAGAATATTTGCTGACCGGCTCTAACCAGAATTAAAACCACAGCTAAGAATGCATACAAAGGAATTAATGTAAAAGGTGTTAAATGACCAATAGTGAAAATGCAACAAATAATGCCAACTGGTGGAACACAGCAGGCAACAAAATAGCATCCAGTAATACCGTATATACTCGAGTATAAGCCGTCCCGAATATAAGCCGAGGTACCTAATTTTACCACAAAAAAAACTCCTCCCCCCTTCCCTTCAATAGCCGACAGAGCCACTCGGGGAGGGGGGGAGGAGTCCGGTGACGTCGATGTCCGTGACGTCACCGGATCTCCGACGGAAGACCCGGAAGCCGGCGGAGAGGTGAGTACAGATCAACCGTGGATTCGGCACCCCATACTTAGAACGTGACCAGCGTACCTAGAGCCCGCTGACTCAAGTCAGAGCCCGCTGACTTTTTTAAAAAGGGACACCAGAGCACGCTGACTCGAGTATAAGCCGAGGGGGGCACTTTTCAGCCAAAAAAATGGGCTGAAAAACTCGGCTTATACTCGAGTATATACGGTACTTGACGTGTAATAATACTAGTGCAAGTAACCAAAGAATACAGTAAACAATAAAAACTAAGATCAGACCACATACACTATATAGGGTAGGAAACCTTGGCACTCCAGCTGTTGTTGAAATACAACTCCCATGAGGTATTGCACGACCCACAGACATGACTTTCAGAGGCATGCTGGGATGTGTGGTTTCACCACAACTGGAGTGCCAAGGTTGCCTACTCCTGCACTAGACAAATTGGGCTTGAAACATGGCAGGACTGGGACTTCAAATATCGGCTTCATAGCAACACCTGCGGGTGGAACACAATGCCACCAGCAGGTAAAACCAAGAACGAGGTTTGTGACAAAAAAGTAGAAAACTGTGCTTGTCCTCTTTCAGTCCAGTCTATGATCAAATCTAAAAGGAACTACCTAATTTATTTCTTTGGAACATTGTTTCTAACCACCTAGCGTAAACTTTCAGTGACTGTATTTTAAAGTGCAACTATACTACCCGCCTATCCCTTATAGCCATGGAAGGTGACATCTTAGCCTCTATTTAGATTGCAGTTGCCATGGTACTACACATGTGATCAGCTATGACACCAGCCACTTGAGGGCTTGGAAGTTTGGTTGAGAGCTGAAATAAGCACACTGAAGTTGACTTATCTTAACCCCTTCGTGACGGGAGACGTACAGTGTACGTCCCGTCACAAAGTGGCTATATGACTGGCCACGTACAATTGACATGCCTTTAATGTAACTGTTTTGGGAGACATTAAATTGGTGGGTGAAGTTCCCGTTTAATGTTAAGTACTTACATTACATTTACAATACAGAAGACCCAGGTTAACATAAACTAATACTATTTTAGGTTATGTAGTTTTCATTTTATTTTTAAATCTCCTATTTGTGAGTTAATCAGAATAGTGTTGTATGTTTAAAAGAAGCAAATCAAAATTTTCTGGAGTGTAGCAGTAATGCGAGGAGAGATAGTTACATTGTGTGTCTTAATGTATTTTTTATACCTTAGAACAAACCCCATAGGCATGAAAGGACATATGGCTAAGTGTTATGGTGATTTGGTTCAAGAGCTGTGGAGCGGAACTCAGAAGAATGTGGCTCCCCTTAAATTAAGGGTAAGACTTGTAGCTAAATGTTTGTTTACTGGAAATAATGATGTGACCTTTGTGCAAGTTCTTGGTCTTTCAAAGTAGGGTCCCCACACAATACTTCCAAAGTAATGTCCCCTCCTGGCTCCCGTAACAAAGTTACATTGCTAAGTGGATATAACTGTCCGTTGACATTTCACTGAAGTGTTATAGTATTGGCTTTGCTTTCTGCCTCTTGTGCTACTGTGCCAGGGCTATGCCAACTTTCTATACCAACTGCCTGCCCTTCTATAACAAAAAACTTTTGTCAAATTATGTTAATCAATATATTATCAGACCAATAAAGAGATAAGAGATCTCTACTAGCTATTGCCATCTTTACTTTCCGGTTTAATAGATGCTTAGAGACATATTTTTTTTATTGAAATCCTGTCAAGTACATATATGAAATAATTGTGTATTTAGTAATTTTACTAGTAACATAGAAATGAATAAAATAGTTTTTTTTCTCATTCAATACATTTTTATTTACATGTATTTATTAAATAAGAGTACACATAACGGTATCAAAATGTATGAGTAGAGACATGAGTGATATAACGTTATACAATTAAAATGGTTATCATGGAAGTGGAATAAATAAAATTATTTTTTTAAATTTATTTTTTATAACTGATTTATATGAGCTTGTCCCTGACTCCTTTCCTTTATCATATTCATGCTTCTACAGTGGACAATAGCAAAATATGCCCCCCGGTTCAATGGCTTCCAGCAGCAAGACTCCCAAGAACTTCTTGCTTTTCTTCTGGATGGTCTTCATGAAGATCTTAATAGAGTCCATGATAAGCCATATGTCGAGCTCAAGGACAGTGATGGCCGACCTGACTGGGAAGTTGCTGCAGAGGTAAGTCTTTGTGGAATATTAATTTGTTAGTTGCCTAACATAACCCATTCATACATTTTATAGTATGTGCTTGCAGCAAAATATGTGCAGAATATGTATCTGGACAGAAGGGTCATTAGTATCTCAATTATGACACGTATTCTTAAAGCCTGTTGATGTCGACTCAGTAAAAGTTGATTTCTAGTCATGTTTTAATGTCTGTACTATATTTATTGTTAGTCGGTGTTCATTTACACAATACAGACTATAATATTTGGTCAGTATTCGAGCCTGTTTTGATGCCAGTGAGCTTGCTTTTGACATCGGTGTGAGATGCTTCTGAGATCATGCAGAATTCTTTGGCAGGTGCATTTGGCCTTCATATTACCGCCTTTAACCTCTTGCCGTCCGCCCGTTGTAAAAAAACCAATACGACCTATTATTTAAAGCTGCTTTTGGATTCCCATACAGTTGTAGGCGGAGAGAAGCTGTTGTGGTCTCTTCCTGTATGGATAACTGATGCAGATAACAGTATTTATCCATGTGAAAAACCTGTAGTTGCCAGCCACAGTATAAATACATGATACATATAACAGATCCTAAGTTTGTTTGGCGGGGGAAGGGTCATAGCCGCTGTCAGATTTTATAGTTCGCTGTGTTGCCACTGGGGAACATTTCCCATCACTTGCTGTCCCAGTGACTGTAGTCACTAATATAGGAGAACTGTAAGGACAAATGTGGTACTATTATTTTTATATAGCGGGGAAATGTTGTAAACTCAGTTGTTTGTTTTTTTTTTGCAGTTTTCTTTCCTGTTAGAGAAAAATTAGGATGGTACTTCTAAGTATCTTAATCTATCATTTAAATTCCCTCTATCGGAATTTATGGTGCCACAGCTGTACAGTCAGAATTCCAGAGGTTACCAGTTGAGTTTAAAAGTGATTTTGTTTTATACATTTTTGCTTCTGGCTAAATGATTCAGCATTCAGATCTTTTGTTTGTTCCTTGAGAAAATACAAACATGTTTTGCATGTTTGTATTTTCCCAAATAACCAGGAGCATTTCATAAGCTTTTTGCGTTAAGCCAAATTAACTGAAAGAAATATATTTCTCATTTTAAAACCCTATTTGTCGTGCTTTTTACAGCAGTCTGCCCAGGAGCAAGCTATATGTCTGAGAAAGTAAAACATGTTTCCAGACATTTAATTGCCAGTGGGCCAGGGCATTAATATAGCCCATAAACATTGTACATTAAAGTTTTACATCTAATATATTTAACTCAGCCAATTCCTGTGCTTTTCAGGCTTGGGACAATCACTTGAGAAGAAACAGGTCCATAGTTGTGGACTTGTTTCATGGACAACTAAGATCGCAAGTCAAATGTAAGACCTGTGGGCATGTGAGTGTCCGATTTGACCCGTTCAACTTCCTTTCGTTGCCTCTTCCTATGGACAGCTACATGCATCTGGAGATCACAGGTTTGTGAAAATACAAATACTATTTCTTTACCATTATCTGGTTGCATTTCTTGGCGCTATAAAAAAAAAAAAACATCGTTGTGGAGGCTATGCAGGTCACAAATGGGGAGAGCACACTGTAGAAGGCATACCTTTTGTTACTGATTTATTACCCATGGTACTCTTAAGAGTTTTTCATTCCATGATATGTCTCTTGATGCATAAAATCCACAGACGCACCAATCATGTTCTCTCATTTACTGGTACGATTTTAAAGTTGAATGATTAATCTTCTAAGGATAGCAGAATATTAATGCACGTTATGTTAAAGTCATTAGGGTTCCATTTGGACACATGTTGATCTAAAAATATAAAAGCATTGTGAATCTAATGATGGTCAACTATATAATAGATATTGGACATAGTTGCCTTGTTTGTCATATTCACACTGTGATATAAGGTCAGTAGGTGAGAGTTAATGCTGATTTTTGTGGTGGTTATGTTTGTTTTTATAGCGATTATAAAATATTTTCTTCTTCCTTTTTATTATTCAGTAAAGAAAACAAATTCAGCTTACAGACAGATTTAAACATTTTATTTTTTAAACTAAAGCTAACATTGGTCCGTTTATTTTATTTTTAAGTAATTAAATTGGATGGCACAACTCCTGTTCGGTACGGCTTAAGGCTCAACATGGATGAAAAGTACACAGGCCTGAAGAAACAACTTAGTGAACTCTGTGGCTTGAAACCTGAACAGATTCTCTTGGCAGAAGTACATGGATCTAATATTAAGGTAAAGGACTATAACCGGGTGTACGCCATGCACAGTTGTAGCAAAAAGGCCTAACATGTAAAGCTTTACTAATGTGTGGAAACCAAAAGTGGAATGAACAATTTAAACTGTGGCTCCAGCACTACAAAAGCCTATGATAGTCTAGCTCAGCCTTTGAGGTTCTACACATGCAACCTCAACTGCTCCTGCTTTATGCAGTAAACTAGAACCAGTTTTAGTAATCAGCTTTCTTTAGTTTACATTCTAAAAGTAAAGCTCAAATTATGAATACAATTTTAGTAAAGGCCCTGCATGCCCACGCTAGTAACACCCTAGGGTTAATATAAAAAAATAAAAACTTAAATCAGAGCCAGCATTCCACCAACCTGCAGACCCACAGCACTGCTCTCTTTTTTAATCTCGTCTCCATTAGCTGGATGGATGCAATACTGTTCCTTCAGTAGTCAACTCCATAGACTTCTAAGGTTGTACAAGAGCTAATGTACAGACAACTGTAGCACAGCTCAGGTGCAGTGCCTAGCCAGCCAAGAGAGAAGTAATGTATACAGAGATCATAACTGTGATTTTGCTAGCAGGCAGAATGCAGACTTCAATGGGCTTTTTTTTTTCTTTCTACTTTATTTTTTAAAAATTTAAAACTATAGCGGGCTTTAATTTAAAATGTACTTGTAGTTTTAATAGCACTTCAGATTTACCTGGTTGCATGAACTGTTGACACTACACCTAGTGCTAAATGTATGCCGTTTTTTTCACTGTCCAGATTCCATTTACTATCATGTGACAGAATGTAAATTTGTCTAGGTGCTAAAAAAGTTATACTCTCCTGAACCTTCGAGTCGGCTTGTTTCTAGACCAGTCCCTGGAGCATCTCTCCTCCTCTTGCAGCAGTCTAAGAATCCTTGTGTCATCATGCTCTATACCAGGCCTTCTTTTTCTTTCTCCACTTGTGACCCCTTTTTGGCCGAGGAAATTTTTAGGGGACCCCAGCATCGGACGGTGTCTCCCCCCTCTTTCCCTTAACGTTGGTCGGTGTTTCCCCCCCTCCCCTAGCGTCAGTCGGTGTCTCTCTCCTCCTAAAAAAAAAACCTTCCTGCATGCACATGCTCAGGAAGGTACCAAGTGCACAGGGGGGGGTTACGACCTTAAAAACTACAGTACACTGCACATTCAACGGAAATGTGGGCCCCTCACACAAGTACCGGCTGTACCTCCCTGATGGCGGTCCTGGCCGGGGACTCAGATCGCGACCCCCCTGTTCACTTGTGGGACCCTATATGGGGTCGCGACCCACACTTTAAGAAGCAATGCTCTATACAAGTGTATAGACGTGAGGATGCTGAGGAGCATTCCAGCTATAATGTGTAGAAATTCTTACTCTTCAGAACCTAGAAATATATTGGGAGGGATAGCTGGGTTTTACAAGTATTCAGACGTTTGACCAATTCTTGTGTAACTGAATAACAAATTCTTCACTGAAGTGTTGATTCCTATGAAGGCATGCAAACTCAGGTCTTTTAAAAGGTAATGTGACATGTTCTATGTAAGAATAAAAAATTAGGAAAACAAAAAATTGTCATTTTAATGGTGTTGTGGTGTTAATGGTAAACAATTCTCTGACATGAAATCCATTGTCCTTAAAGGAGAACTATGGGGTCAGTGTTTTTCCCCATAGTTCTCCTTAGGGTAACAGGAGGACACAAACTAGCGTCCTCCCGTCACCCTAAGCTCAGTATACCGCGAGCTACAGCTCGCGGTATACTGAGATGCCGCACCTGGAGCGGATCCCGACTTAGATGACGGGATCCGCCCAGCTGCGTGACAGCTGGCTCTGCCTATCTAGAGGCAGAGCCAGCTGTACCCGCCCCCTCCCCCGTCCGTTCCGCCAGTCAGCGCTGGCAGATCGGAGCGGGGAGAGGGGAATCCAGCCCCTCCCCCTGTCACGGCAGAGAGCCGTGACAGGATCGAGAGGTGAGGGAACCCGGTATGTTTTCTCTCACCTCCCGATCTACTGAGCCGACCTGTGACAGTCTCATTGTCACAGGTCGGCTTAGAACTATGACGTGAGTGGAAATCACTCATGTCATAGTTCTCCTTTAAGAGAATTGTTAAGCACTTTAGTTATAAGTGCTGTTTTCAAACTCCATAATAGGGGCTCCAGCTGGTCCTGGTGGGTAATAATCCAGAACAACCAGCCATCAGTGACTGTCACTGTTCAGTGCTAAACCCACCTCCTAGTCTTGCAGTCCAGCTACAGAGTTCTCCATGATTCATTAACCCCTTCATGACTGAGGCCTTTTTTAAATTTTTTG